TGTATCAAGCGGCCGGTTTTCAAATTCCCGGAATTTATTCCCTTCAATTAATGTAAGTTTCCCTTTACTGAGTCCCAACGGCCTGTTTGTATTGTCCTCCACCTGTATTGAACAGTCCTGCACTTAGAGCGGGACCATTCAAATGAAACTAAAGGATAATTTTTTTCAAGTAAAATTCACTCTATATTTTTCTCTCGGAATCAATGTTCGTAGTATTTTGGATCGAGTTTTCGTACATTGAGTGGCCAAATATGGCACAAAATGACGTTTCACCGTTTCTCTGCAATATCCCAAATATGTGGTATCTGCTTTACGCGGTCAACCTCAAGTGGTCCAAATTTTGTGGTGGTCGCATCAAACTAACATGTTTTAACCAAACTTTCGTTAACAAAGAAATACGCGAATCCTACACACAAATGAATTGAATAAACCCCTCTTTCGGAGTTTTTTTTTATTGAGTTTCAGTAATACATCATAGCATTTCCGATGTTAGTGTAGTATCAGTAGGCTTTTCTACTAGAAGGTGAATCTGCATTTAGAACAAGTACACTTTGCCTGACCACAGATCAGTTCCCGAAGTAATTCTATCTAGACATGTATTTAATACATGACAGTTTTATGCTTAAAAAGACCTAATTTCTGGTTCCTAGAATTTGGGAACACTTCTTTTACGCGACTTGTTGACTGATCGATAACATCTTCAAACAAAATGCGCTGTCGAAGAATTATGAAATGAAATACTGAAACCAGACACAAAGTGGAAAAAGACTCATATAATTAAACCTATGATAGACGCCAATTTAAGACACACGGGGGGGTGTTTTGTCAACAAAACGTTTCGAAAATATTATTCTTATAAGTAAATGGTTAAAACTATTTTAGTCAAGTTTATGCACTATCTTGTGTTCGACTTCAGTGCAGCCTTTTGTGATCCTCTTTGGATTAAACAAATAAAAGTTAATATGAAAGTCTCCATTATCAGAAACGTGGTTGTATTTGTTCTTGTAATTGCCAGACTGGTCAATCTATCTAGACAGTGCGAAGTGTTCTGTTCGCAACACGTGCGTAAACCAGGCAGTGGGCGCACTCCGATTCCGTTGCATAGTGGTAACGTTACTTTTATTGTGGCGGTGAAATCGGTAGAAATCAGTAGATTTTGAAGGAATATTCCGCAAAAGTTAGGCCGTTCTTTTTTCTTTTCACCATAGGCTAATGTAATTTGATTTATTCTGACTGTGTGTAGTTATGATTCACATGTGTCACGTATTCACCGGTTCTTGGGAACAAACGCGATCACTGTTTTTAGTATGTATTTTGAGACCGGTTTTCAAGAAGGTCAAATTTGATGTACGTCGTAGTTGGAAGCCTTTCAAAGGTAAAGATGGCCGCTTTGATTCATCTGCAACAGCTCCAACCAAACGCTCTCAAACGCACTTCAACAGTACTCGTGTTTTATGCATTTTAAGTGCTAGTGTTTGAGACCGGTTATGGCTGCGAAAACGCGTTATTGTAGGGACATTACAATATTTCTAAGTGATTGGTTCCGAGAGCGGCCAGTGTTCTCCGAAAAAATGTTTCGAAGTTTTCTTGGAAGTCTTTTAAATCACCTTTTAATATCATTAAGCAAATAAATATGTTTTGATGAAACCTCTCTCTTTCATTTGCGTTACCCTTGTTTTCTCTACCATCTACTCGCTCATAAATTGTTCCATTTATGGAGAATCTTGTATGTGAGAATCAGTAATTACAGCCCTTTATCGTTCAGGTTGTTTTCGCAGCCATTTGTCAGGTTTTAGAAAAAAATACAAATATTATTCACCAGCCAAGGTCGGTCCGTATTGGGAAAAACTGTGCCCTCTGTCTTGTGTACCAAGGCCTCGGGCACAGTTTTTCCCAATACGGACCTCCATTCTGGCGAATAACATATATTTCCAGCCCTGAGAGGAGCCGTAACAACACACTAGTGTGGTGGTCGAGGGCTTCCACTCAAAATTTTACAATTTTTCAAAGATCAAAAAAAATAAAAGAAAAAATAAATCAAAACTGAAAGTAAAATGGAACGTGACTGCAAAACAAAAGAAAAAGAACGATTGAAAGTAAAATGAAGTAGCAAGCAAATTTAAAAGCAAAAGTAATTGCATTATCAAAGTAAAAATCATTCCAAAATTAAACTGAAATCCAAGGGCAATTCACGTCGAAATAAAGAATAAACTCAATATCAAATCAAAACAAAAGTCCAAGTGAATATCGCTGTGGCTGAGGGCTGTCACTACCATGATACTGTGCGGGCGTGATTGTAGGTCCCATCGTGCGTTGTGTCCATATACTCAAGTTGTGAAGTAGTTTTGATCTTGAGTGATTTAGAAGAGTTTTTTAGTATTTCGATGTCAGATTTCAGAGAGGCCTTGTGGAAAAATAATGCCGATCTTAAAGAGGCTTTGCTAAAATATGTCGGGCGAGGATTACAAAGATGAGAGATGTTAGATTTCCTCACTCGTGACTTTCCGCGTGGAGTCTAAGGATGCTTGATAGAAGGCTTCGTCATTTGGACATATTTTTCAACGATGGTGCTGTTATGAAGGCATTTGAAACTGAGCCAAACGGGCCTGGAAAGCTATTGGGATACCACGCATACCACGCATCATTATTAAATCTTTAAATCTTTGAAAAATTGTAAAATTTTGAGTGGCAGCCCTCGGCTACCATACACGTGTGTTGATATAGCCAATCAGCTGCTGACACGTCACTGTGAACGGTCAGGTCATGTCAACGGACAAGTCGATGAATGAATAGCTTCTTAATGTCACGATTAAGCTCACGATTCTTAATACAAGTTGTTTGTCGGAGCTTTCTCGAATTAGGGCGGCTAAAACACTAAAAAATCCGTATCGCTGACAGACAGTGAGGTTCAAACTTTTCTAGAAGGGGAAGAAAGCCAACATACTAAAAGAAAAACCGAAAGTTACGTATTCAGTGGCTTTGGTGTTAGCATTTCTCTCGGCTGAGAATGAAAATCGGCAACTGGAAGATTTGCCACTAGCTGATTTTGGCCGTTTACCTGAAAGACTTCTTCTGTCGGTAAGGACAAAGTCAATAAACGAGACTTTTGTAAATTGAAAATTACGACCATTGTTGTTTTTGTAATCATGAGTCAACGGATTTTTCCATTTGGGAGTTAGCGCCAACGCACTCTACGATTGTTAATCGGAATTTGTCGATTCATTTATTTTCATTTATAAATGTAGTCGGCTATTGTGTTTATATGATAAACAAAATAATACATGGTTGCTTGTGGATATGGAATTTCCCTTCTCGTGTTCCACTTGACATCTCACTCGTTCACTGCGCTACACTCGAAGAGAAATTCCATATCTACGCACGCTCGTGTATTATTCTTTATATCTCGCCTCCTGAAACCGCAAACCAATGGGACAATGGACCTCTAGCGTCAATGACAATGGATCAAGATTTCCCAGGAAAAGTATCGCATTGCAGACACAGTTTTTTAGTTATCTCGATTGCTCAGTAGAGCGTTGAGGAGGACGACACAATATTGGGCAAAGTTGCAAAGGCAAAGGAAAAACCCGCGGCAAAAAAGGAAAAGCCGGAGAATGCCGGTGCCGAGAAGCAAGACAACGAATCGACAGGAAGGAATACTTATTCAGCAATAAGGAATACCCTTACTGCTGAAGTGAGTTCCCAAGCTAAGGTTTTTTTTTTGTAGTTTTAAAATTACGATTCGAAGCTCTCTTCTTGACAGAATGGTAACCCTCCCTTCCGTTTCACCTTAAAGGAGGCGGGGAAGGATGCCTCCTAAGAGCGAATTCGTCGCGGAGGAATCACAGGAGCCGCGCAGGCCCGTCAACACTTTTTAACTTTCAAATGAAAGGCAACAGACGGTGAATCCCCCTTATTTTTCCCGTATATTCACGCTATTCTGGCTGCCAGAGATATTCACTCGACCAACAGGATGCAAATTACTTACTTTTCTTTTACGACCACGATGCAACACAATCAGAGTGCGCACACCGCCTGTCCGTAAATGGCTCGAGTGCTAACCGCGACTCTCTTCACGCGTGATACAATTGTAACAGGAAACGTCTACCGCATGCCAGTTGTATGAGAATTTTCCGCGGGAGTTTTAGGTAAAGAATTACTTGGACCCTGTCGAAAGACTACAAGATTTTCCTCTTCGGCTACAAAAATTATTTCACTTCTCTCGCGGAGGCGATTTACGTTGTCGTTTGTAAGCTGGATATGTATGCCGTGGAAACGCATCGTATCGGTTTAAGAAAGCATTTTTGAATCGTAAATAACGAAGAGGCTGCATCCACTCATCAGAATAAATATTCCCGGAGAAACTTAATTTCGATTTCGTTGCCAGCAACTGCTATTCACGGTACTTGTCTAATTCAAAACGGATTGTCAGTGCTAGGTGGTATCTCAACTGAAAGCGCGCGCGCGTTCGATAGGTGATCCGCCTTTCATCGCTTGAGCCCCAGATTAGACAATATATCGTAATTTGCTGGTTCTTAACCTTATTTCCATTACACAAAACGCATCTTTGCCTTTAGACTGAGTCAAACACAAATGTTAGGTCTTTCAAAGCTACATACATGACTAACTCACCCATCCACTAAAGGTGTTTCATCAAGGATCTTATTGGCCGTAGCAAGGTAATCCACAGCCGCACGACGGCTACGATCACGAGTGGCTGGAACACAGCTAACAACAAAAGCAAAGCTGAACAGGAAACATAATGAATAGAGCCGTTCACAGCCCATTTTGCTCATTAACTCTAACCACGATCAATTCAGAGACAAACTCTTTGAACAAACCTGTGCAAAGCGCACTTTGTAATTGAATCCTCTATTTATGCTTCTAAACAATAGCCTGGTCAGTTGTTACACTGTGCTTTATTGCTATCGACCAATGAACACGCGAGAAATGTGAAAATTAAGAAGAAAAATATAAATTAATAAATAGTTGACTCACTACGTTTGTGCAAGCTAGTCTAGTCATTATCTTGTGACCGACTTCACTGCAGCCTTCTGTATTCCTCTTCAAATTAACCATCATCAGAATGAATAGGAAAGTTATCATTATTGGAACGGTAGTCGTGGTCGTTCTTGTAATCGCCATTGCCGTACCCATAGCAGTGTTGACAGGAAAGAAGAGTACTAGAGATGAATCAAGCCTTACACAGCGTGCTGCACAAGTGTTGGAAGAGACTCCACTTGTTGACGGGTAAGAAATCCTATTCAATCTATTCTTTGCTATAAAAAAACCTTTGAAACCAGCTCGGAAGGAGGAGGACAAAAGGGAATTGCTCCAGAGTTATGCGGGACACTTTGTCACTAGTTATGTGATTTCGGTCAAAGTACAAAGCGCGCGCGCGTGCCGCGTGCAGGGAAGAGAGAAAAGCGCGTTTCACAGTGCGTAAAGCTGCTCATCTCTGTTATTGGTTGTTTCCTTTGATTAAGCCGTTCAAAGATAAAATCATGAGCCCTTCGTTTTCTGCGCAAAGTTGAAAGAAAAGTCACGAGAACATTTCCTACGGAAAACAGAGAAAGCAATGTAAAGGCTCGCCTGGCTTTGTCTTTCGACAGCTCGTTGAGACAGGTTGTAAATTGATACGCCCTCTTTTGACATGTTCTAAGAAAACTCTCTAGACGACGCTCAAGACGACTTATAAAGTTACGTATTTTAAGTTATTTCCCGCTTATCAAGAAACAACACCTGAGTTTAAAGGGGCAGGTACACAACGGGAAAAATTGACGGGAATATCAGATATAACAATGTTATTTTGTCTCTAAATGTGTTTCACCGATGAGCATATTCTCACGACCATAAAGCAGAATCCGGTAAACGTCGGTACCAATTCAGTTTAGAAGAACGCCAGTTCGATATTTTGTACTTGTCACGTTCTATTTTTAAACATTGAGCAGTTTGTTAGGGGTAGTTAGGACATACTTTCGCAAGAGAGGGTACTCTTATCGAATTATGCGGTAAGAAAGATTTGCGAAAGCGAAGACCTATCTTGTCAGTCTAAAATTATCTTAAATTAATAAATCTGTTGATTCAAATCCTTCCTCTCTTTCTGTTTTCAATTTCTCCAATATTAATTTATTTCTGTGCTTGCTCGCTTCTTGACTTGCTTGACTAATAGAAACGGGGTGAATATATTGGTTTGAGGGGGGAGGGAAAGTGGTCTGTGACTATAAGGAGGCTGAAATATTTCATTGAGAGTTGACAAAAATCAAATAAATTTTTTTTGGGGGAGCCAGGTCGCACCAGAGCGAATTCAAATATTTTCCATTTTTCGCGCGCCAAAAATTGCGGTCGCATTAAACTAGTATCCTCTGACCAAAACTTCATTGACACATACGGCAATAACTAACCTATCTCCCTTCATTGAAAGGTAAAGAAATGTTCTCGCTCGAATTGCTGGGCAAGAATAGATCGTTGTCGAATCATTATCTTTGTGCTCTCGGGTTTTCGTGGAATTTAGCATTCTACGTACAAGTTGCGTAGCGTTTTTCACATTGTTGATACATTATCAGCAGGCTTCTATGCAGCTAGTTCCAGCTTTTAGAAGTAGAAGACGAAGACCTCGCTAAATAGTGCTCGCTTTTAAACCGTCCTTGGTCGTAGTCTTTTTCGCGTCCGACGGAGTCATGGAACGAGATTGGGACCATGATGATGATGATGATGATGATCGTTTATTCAGCCTTCTTGCAGTAGAAACTGAATTACAAGGCGGGTCATAATTTACAAATACTTCTACATTATGCATACATAGAACTATTTTAGATATCAATTAAATATAAATATTAAATATTGTGTAAACATTAAATACGATAAGTAATAAGCTAAATTGCAGTTAAGTATATTACACATGATTCTGATATCTAATAGTACAAAAATTTCCAAATCTAATAGATCTTGAGTAGGTAGGTACAGACACAGTTCTTCCTGCCCTAAGGGCATATGGTCTTGAAAATTGACATCGCGGTACTAAATTTCGTAGTAGGTCAGAAGAGTAGTAACTCCGCTTAAGGAAAGTGACGCATGCATCCTCCCTCCTCTGGCATAGATTAATTAAGCCTGACTTCTTAAGCGCGTCCTCATTACTCATAAACGGGAAAATGATTTTTAGAGCCCTCTTTTGAACCGACTCAATTTGATAACTCAAGTACTACCCATGTATCGTAATTCATTTCTTTTTTTCCTGCTGATATTTTTGGTTGCAGCTTGCACCACTTGTGTTGGCCTCGATAACTCCAATAGAAGGAGAAGTACTCGTTGAAGCTGATTGTTCTCCAAATTGCCGCCAGTGAAAAAAACTGTTATGTCAAGCCATCGCGCGTAGCAAACTACGCTAGCGGATTAAAGTGTATTTTTCCCGCTTAAATTTTATCTAGACGTGTCTTGGATACGATGACAACTAAATGGTTTAAAAAAAAAGATTGTTTGTTTGCCAAAATTTGGAAGCCTCCGAGGCTGAACATCGGCTCCTGTGAAGATTGGCGAAGTTTTGGCGATACGCCAAGCTTTTCAAATTGGGGGTTGCACTTATCTTACGCTACTTGTTAACAGATTTTTGGTAAACAAACAAAAAAAGCTCTAGTGCGACCCGGGCCTAAATTAGCACCACACAACGGAGGACACGAACATTAACCAGACCAGATGGTTTTATCGCATTCCACGGTTTGAGATGATTGATATATACGTAAAAGAATATACGTAAAAGAATAATGAAATACAATTACATTTTTGTCATTTCGAGCACTCAACTTGTCATCCGATACAATTTTTACCGTTTCAGTTTGTTGATAGGTAAGGCAATCATTATTAGGTAGAAGGTAACTCATTATTGTCGAGCTGCCAGACAAGCTAGTGGAATTATTCACTTGGGAATTATTGGAAGCACTCTCGTTTTACGAACCGTTCCTCTTGGAAAAAAAAAGGAATATAAACATGACATGAATTTTCGAACAGTTCTGCTCTAATAACTGTTTTGATGTTTGCCTTCCCATCCACAACACTGAACTTTTTCAATGGTTCAAAAAGATACGGCTCCCATGGCATTTTGCGCATGCTGCGACCCTTGCGGTATAATGACCGAAAAATTGTCAGCTATGAGTGAACTTCCTCCAAGACCACGCGAGTGAGTGAATGAAAGGAAGATCTTTTCATGTGTATGATTTAAGCGACTGAAAATTAAAGTAGTTGTGGTGTACTATAGGAATTCTGTCACTCAAACATACCCCACACTTTGATTAAGAACCTTTTGAACCATGTGACCCTTTAACTGCTTTTTTTTCATTTTTTCAGGCATAACGATATTCCATGGCAACTGAGGAAGTATTTCATGAATCAAATGGAAAATGTGACTTTAGACAAGAACAACCCAGAATGGCACACTGATATCCCAAGGTTAAGAAAGGGCAAAGTTGGAGCGCAGGTAAGTGGACTGAGCTCGACACGTTTCCAAGTCACTTTTCCTTCAAGAGTGAGTGCGTCATTTGAAGGAAACAGTAGTAGGCTAGTGCTTTAAGGTTACTGTTAACAAAACAAGATGTTTTCCGGGAAAAATGGAGATATTTGGTATCATTTCTTTACCTCTTAGAATGATCTTCATCTAATTTTTCCTTGCTTTATAAAAAAAAAAAAGAAAAAAGACAAAAAGTCGAAGACACTCAGCCATTGATTAACCAATGCATTGCGTTCTTTCCTTACAGTTTTGGTCAGCGTACGTTTCCTGTGCCAATCAGTACAAGAACTCGGTACGCTTGTTCCTCGAGCAGATTGACGTCATCCACCGCATGGTTGATAAGTACCCGGGTACTTTTACTTTGGCCACCACTGCGCAGGACATAAAAGATGCGCACAAAGCCGGAAAGATCGCCTCTTTGATTGGAGTAGAAGGGGGTCATGCAATGGATAGTAGTTTGGATGCCCTTCGGATGCTGTATGAATTGGGGGGTCGGTACATGACGTTGACTCACAGCTGTCACACTCCTTGGTGAGTTGCGTGACAATCATTCATTTGTCATTCTTAAGAGCTAATGTCAGCATTCATCAGACAAACAGCGGCAAGTCACCCAAATTTGTTTTCCCTCCTACTTTCATATTTTGTAGCCCAATATGTTCTAATAATTGTGGTGGAGTTTTTTTGTAAAAATTTATTTTAGTTTGCGAGAAATAATTTTTTTCGTTCGACCGCTCAAATATGCAAATTTTCACCGTGAATATTACCAGAGTTGTGTGACCTCATGTAACGAATGTACTAGACCTACGGTATTTCTGTGAACATAACCCTTTGTTTTATCATCTAAACTTAATCCCCTGTCGTTATTGAAGCTGGCAAAGAAATATTTATTTTTTGGTGAATATTTTTGTCCGACATACTTTTCCTATGTCGAAAAGTAGCATCAAAATTAAATTAACAAATTTTTATAACAGTTTATAATCACTCGAAACTAAAAAGATAGCCAGTGCGCTATTACCTCTTAACTCCTCTATCTGCGCGCCGGGTTATGTAAAGAGCAATTTAGTAGTACTGGAAGGGATGGTCTAACCCTCTTAGTACACCATAACTACCTGAATGTCTTCTTTTACGAAGGCGGCGAACTCAGTGTGTAGCAGGAGGGAATTTCTATTCACGTTTGATGTTCAGACGCTGATTTGTTGAAGTGGTCGTACTTAGCTGGGACAACATGATAAGAGTTGTTTGAATTTTATGGTGAAAAATTAGCTGCAAGAGTGAATGAAACTTATGCAGACTATATTGTCTAACAGTTTCTAGGATGCAGAATTGGAAAACAGACTAAGTAATTAATAATTTCTTTCAGGGCCGACTCATGTACCCCAGAGAAACCGGAACATAATGGTTTGACTCAATTCGGAAAAGTGAGATATAAATTGTCATTTAATCTTTCTTCTATTTTATCAACTTATTTGATACACTAAAATGGCGGCCAGGTGTTTTTGAAGGCTTCCACCATCTGATTTAATCTACGCATGTTTATCACGGTAGCTCGAGGCTGTAACTGATGTTGGCACCGCACCTAGAACCTCGAGATAGGAAAAGTGAACAAATACTGGCGGTGAGGTTAATGAAGAATTCGCTTTTTAAATTCAGGTCTTCGTTCTCTTGAGAACCCAATATTGCATGAAAATTTTACCCGTCAAAGTTGTGGATAACTCAACTACTGGAACGAATTCCGACTCACGGCAGCCATAGAAATTTGAGCCACGGCAGTCTGCTTGCGAGCGGTTTCTCTGTCTTGTGTTGGTTTCTGGTTTATCTGTCTTGTATGCTGGTATTTAGTGATCTTTCAACTGAGGGAGATCTTTTCTTCTATTAGATACTTAGCTAGTTCAATTTTACCGCAAGAGAAATACATCAGCTTTCATCCGGATGGCGTATCATAGTAGGTACACAATAAGGGGTTTCTTGTGATTATTTTTTAGGACGTGATTAGAGAGATGAATCGGCTTGGGATGTTTGTCGACATATCACATGTTTCCGCCAAAGTCATGCATGATGTTCTTAATATCACAGAAGCCCCAGGTATAAAAGAAAACAGTCATGGTTTGCGAAATCTGTAATAAATTACCTGATTATTTTTTGCAAATCAAATTTTACGTTCATATTTGTAGCTGTTTTAAACGAGATTTTCTACACATATTGTGCGGTAAACAGGAAATAAGAACAGAAGTTCATTATAATTAGATCAACAGAATGAATGTTGACCAAACACCAAATACAGGATCGGAAAAAACTGAATCATTTTGGGGAGAGGAGGAAATCACTAACTAAGACAAACAAAGTGGCTCTAAGCCACTGAATGACGACGGGGTTAAATGCAGAGGCCACTGAACCGACTCCAGATTTGGAAACTTTTATCCATCAGTAAATTCTGCTGATCTCAGATCTGAGCTGTCAGTTAAAAACGCGTTATTTCTCAGCAGACTGTTAAATTATTGGCCAACTATCAGTTGAGCCCCACGCAAAAACTGAACATGCGAAAGCCTTTAACGCTAGTCAGAGAATTTACCAAAAGATAAGGTTATTTCCCACCTTCGCGGGTGTCCTTTGGGAACAAATTCGTACGCGCGCTTGTTTCACTTAAATCCTAGCAAACTATATAACAGAAGAAAGCTTGATAACTGCAGTTTACGTTAAAAATCAAATTAAAGCGAGTTTTCTTTTTAGGAAGTGTCAGGAGCCAGTAAGGCGTGAAACGACCTAGGGTTCTTCTATTGAATTTATCGGGTATCGGATGCCGCAGCACGAGCAAAATGGCTGCGCATTCTTATTCACAAGGCATCATTCGATAATAGTGTGTCGGGCTTTTTCAATATTCTGGTTGGTTGTTTAGATATCGACATCGGAAGTTGGGAGTGGCTAAAAATTACGAGGCGTGTTGCTTAAATGGACTAAGGACTTTCTTCCGCTTTTGATTTTTCCGTGGGCAAAGATTTTTCCATAGGCGAAGAGCTTCCACGTGTGTATTTTGTCAAGTGCGCGATGTAAACAAAATATACAAATAACATGAAAAACGAGGCCCAAGTTAAGCGGTTGCCGCGAAAATTCCGCCAGGGTATTCGCCCCTGTACGAGATTATGACACCTTCCTGATGAATTAACTTTTTTTTTATGGAAACGTTTGTTAAATATTTGTATTCAGTGTAATCAAATAAAAGAAACAACTATTTTTTTCGGCCTCTGAAGGTGGGAAGTAACTTTAACAGGAATTGAAGGAAGGAGTCAATTTTGGGGTCATAACATCAAGTCAAAAATCAAGGTAATTTGGTCTGTATTATCATCTGAGTTGATAACGTTAATTGGCCTCCGTTAAGAGTTTGAAAGCTGACGTTTCGAGCGTCAGCCCTTTGTAAGATCTAATGACAAAGGGCTAACGCTCGAAACTCTTAACAGTGGCCAATTAACGTTATTAACTCGGATAATAATACAAAATTACCTTGTTATACTCTCCCACCGACGCAGTACCACAAATTCTTTTGAACCTTACTCCCTTTATCAACTCGGAAATTGCTTTCAGACATAATACGAGTAAAAAATTAGTGTGATTTCCTCTCCCTCCCCATTCCCCCCTAAAAATGTATTATATGCGATGACCGCCTTAGTTGGATGAATTATTGTAATCATTCATCATCATACAACCTCAAGTAATTCGTAAACACCTGTTTCAGTTATTTTCAGTCACTCCTCCGCCTATGCACTTTGCAAAAACCCGAGGAACGTTCCTGATGATGTCCTAGAAAAACTTGTGAGAACATTTATTCCTTATTTGTTCATTTATCTACACGTTCTTTTGTTTCTTTATTTGTCTTTTCATACTCTCTGTTGTATTCGTTCTCTCGCCTAGTGATTCGTTAACTATGCCCGGTGGTTATTTCGTTACCTGAGTCACGCTATAGAGGGCTAAGGAGACCGGAAAATATGCTACCTTAAGGACTTACTTTTTCATCATTGTTTTTACACGTAATAGTAAAATGAGATCAAACGTCACTGCCATTATGGTCTTATTTTGCATTTTTTGGCTGCAACATACCATGTTTAAAAAATAATTATTCAGTCGTTCGTTAGTTCGTTGGTTTCATAACATTCCCATTATGTACTAGCTCATAGTAAATATGATAATAATGATAACAGTGCTTCCGTTACAGCCCAGGAATGGTGGAGTAGTTATGGTGAACTTTTACAACGATTATGTCACTTGCAGAAAAGATGCGACTCTCAGTGATGTTGCAGGTATTGATATGCGTTAAATAATGGGATTCAGTTGTTTCCAAATTCTGGTGAAGCTGATTAAGGCCAGGGAAGAAATGGCACTCACTCGATCTGTGCACACATTTTCTAGACGCGAAACGCTTGATAAAACAACATGATGAAAACTGAGTGAAAGAAACCAACTTGACTTTTATGTCGTCATCTATAATATCTCGCAGTCATTTCATTCGATTTCATTTCCATTTAGTAGAAATGTCAGCCTGAGTTTTAACGTAAGCTTCATTACTCGCGCATTGTTAACTCCACATTCGAGTTTTGTGGTCAGAATTGAATCAAAGGAAATAAGACACTGTTTTAATCGGTATGCTTTCGGATATTTTCAGATCATATCGATCACATCAAGGAAGTCGCAGGAATTGATCATGTTGGTCTCGGTGGTGATTATGATGGCGTACCAAGGTCTGTAGCTGTTTATCAAGATTAATTGGTACACTTCTATGTGCGATTTATCTCAGTCAAGCTTAAGGCCGCACTTTTTATTTTTTAACCGCAATGACAACCCAAGCGGGATACTGGAAGAATCATTACTCGAAAAGTTGATGAATCGCTCCTCTAAGACTAAAACTATGGGTTTTTACTAACCTGAGACCTTCAAGTACTCAGTTATTTACGCAAATTTTTGATAGGTGTCCAGAAAGGGGAATTTGAAAGGAGACACATGAAGTTATCGTCCAGGCTCGCTTTAAGCTTTAATTCTTTTTAACCACACTTGAAGCTCTTATTATGTTCATTTACTGACTTCAGAGTTCCGACAGGATTGGAGGATGTTTCAACTTATCCTAAACTAGTAGAAGAACTCCTCCGGCGAGGATACAGCAACGCAGAGGCCAGTAAAATTGTGGGAGGAAACTTGATCACTGCCATGGAAAAAATGGAAAAGGTTAGCAAGAGCAAATTTACAAAGGAGTTTGTAAGTCCCTTTTTGCATTATAACCGTTACCCCGAGTTTCTCTGGGCGAACTGACTTTCAAAACATTTCTTTCATGTTAAGTCAAACCGTTTACGTGAAGATTATAAGAGACGAGTTTATTTGAACATAGCATCCAAGGGCAATTTTCAAGTCGCACCCGTGGCTTTCCCAGCCATATTAGCTATATGACAGAAAACGTGATTATAGTTATGGTTTTTATGTTACCGCTTTATAAACATTCATGTAGCAATGAAGGAATTTAACATTTATTGTTAATTTTCATCAAATTATCTCTTTTTTAAGGTCGCTGAGGGCAAAAAGGAGGTTCCTCCGTATGATAACTACATTAGTGTCGACGAATCTTGTCGACCAGCTCTTGATGGACTGTGAACTTGATGAAGAAAGGCTCAACCAAATACCTCAAAGGCACCCATAAAATTTTACTTTTGACAACTTGCTTTTTTGGCTTCTCCGTTGAGATCTTTGTAGTCCTATGGTTTTTGTTCAGATCGTTCTGAAATTTTTGCTTCATAAGTTTTTTACAGCTTATATAACTTTTCCTAGTTTTGAGGCTTCATGGTAAAGCTCAATCTACCATAAGTGATCGAAAACCTTGCGATGAATAAATAATTATATTGATGGAAAAATAAAGTATTATTTTCCTCAGTTGCAGTGCTCCAACAAGCACCTAGAGGGTTCTTTTATCCTCCGAGAGTGCTTACTCGGTTTTTGTGTGGCTGAAACAAAGTGTAAACCACTCCATGTCATCGCCTAAGAAATTTATTCCTGGGTTTGTCACGGCGAACAGAGCGCTTGTCACGTGTTTTACTGTGCCATAGCTTACAGTAGTTACATAAGCCTCAGGAAGCGGCTATTTCGTATTTTGTAATACGTTGTCGAAGATCGTATTTTATCTAGTTATTCGTTTATCTTTGTTGCTTAAAATTCAAACGGCGGCTTTCCTACAGTTGGCTTGTCTTGTAAGTGCGGATTACAGCGAGGAGTTGTACTGTTGCGAATGCCAAACACCAGGCTGTTCTTCGCAAACTTCACGGTTTATTTTTCCTTATTCACTGATCACGTCCCGATTTATTGATAGAAGAAGATAATATTCTTTAGCCGGTTTTCTTTTATCACTGACGTACAACACACCCTAAATCCTAGACAACGATGATATATGGGCTGATTAATTGGTTCTATTGTCTACATTGAAATCACAAGAAAAGAGATCACATAACGCTAATCACTTATCGTAGTGAATGTCACACTATACAGCTAAAAATATCTCGACACACTCCCCTATTTGCTTCCGTCACGGGAGCAAATACAATTCGAGTAAAGTTGTTAAATTTCTTCTGATTGAAACCTAGTAGACGGAAATCAGTGTTCAAATCATCAGTTAATGTTCCTCTTTCTTAACAGTCGAATTAAGTCTTCAAATAAACAATGTTTCTTAGTCGTCTTGGTCACGTTCAGCAATATTTTGGACTCGTAGTCTGGCTGCGACTGTGGCATCCCGCTTTTGTCTGAAGGCAAGCGCTTCAGGATTCAGTAGAGGTTTCAGCACTTGCCGAGGCTTGTCACAGGACAGCTCCAGTGGGTACAATTGCTGCACTGCTCTCTCCAGATAGCTCTTGCCTGCTCGAAGCTTCACAGCTCTCACGACCCCGTCACGTCCCGCAACCAGCTCTTCCACTATCTCAAGCTTCCACTTATTTCTGTCTTTGTTGTCGTCTTTGATAACGCACACATCTCCCTTCTCAACTCCACAAGGAAGTCTTTATATTTTACGGTGTGACGTTCTCGCAGCCCACGAAGGTACTCTTTCGTCCAGCGGTTCCAAATCACATCTTTGCATTTTCTCAGGTATTTCGCTCGCCGTCTAAGTTGTGGGTTCTCTTCATAGTGTACCTCCATCTCAGGTAGAATATTTGGTTGGCTGAAGAGCATGGAATTCGGTGTCAAGACTGGTAATTGTGCGTCGTCTTCAACCAAGGACAATGGGCGACCATTCAAGGCTATTTCTACATCTAGAAAGACTTCTTTCAGCTCCTCAAAGGTTAGACAGGCGTTGCCGATAGTTTTCCACACTGCTGTTTCGACCAGCCATATCATGCGCTCGAACTGGCCTCCCACCAGTGGGCTCGGCTTAGGTTAAGCTTCCACGTGATTTGGTGACGTGCAAGGAAATCATTTAGCTTCTTGTCGTTCTGCACTTGCTTAATCCAAGCTGCGGCTCCAATGAAAGTATTGCCGTTGTCTGAATAGATCGCACTTGGTCTGCCACGCCTTGTTATTGATCCTTTTAGACTCAGAAGGATTTCACCGGTCTGCACTGTACCTCGGCAGGTCGAGGTACAGTGCCCTTGTCAGACTGCAGGCATACAGAATAAGGCAGGCTTTTCCTTCGCGTCTTTCAGTGGCTTTATACTTAACTTGGCCAGCATAGCCGACCCCCACAACTTGAAAGAGAGTGGATCCTTTGGTTAGATCTCGCGGTAGCAGTTCAGGAGGTGGTATAGTAAGGGCTGTGGCCTGGAATCGTTTGTATCCTGGGCATTTTTTTACGATACACTTCACTAGTCGTCTTAGGCGCGGGACCCAGTGCAGTTCTCGTACTTTCGCCATTGTCAACTGCGTCCCTCCGTGTAGAGTAGATTCATGAGCTTCTTCCACGAACTTCTCTGTGTAGACTGCTATACTGGGAGATACACTGGGTAGACACTCTGTATCCTTCCCCGGCATTCAAGGAATTGTTGGTTGTTTAACTGTAGGCTAAGCTGCGAGCGGTCGTTTTCATAATCCTTCAATTTCACGCCTTCCTACTGCACTCTCTTCTCCGAGAATCTTCTTTGAATGCTTAGTTCTTCGGTGGTTAGTGGCCCTGTTTTTCTTTCACGAGGTGGACGCTTTGTGTCATGGACAAATCTCGCGACATATCTGCCAATGCGCAACACGCGCCAAGGACCATACTTGTTAAGTATTGCATCAAATCCATCCACGTCTTGGTCAGTAGCGAGATTGAATATCTCTCGTACCGTCTTTGTTTCAGCCAGTATTTCAGCAGTGGCGGTTATGGTTATGTCCGCTAGTCAAGCACTTGGGTGTGAGAGCCATCTCGGACCATGCTAGTAAAAGTCCCCGTCCTGTGGCACAGGCCCTCCCCGACTCCCAAGGTCTGCTGGATTCTCTTTGGTGGGCACATATCTCCATGTTATCCAATTCTTATCTCGAATTTTGCACACCCGGTTGTGCACAAACTGCTTGTATTCCCCTTCTCCTCTTATCCAGTGGAGCGCAACTGTACTGTCTGACCAACAGTAAACTTGGTCGACCGGATATCCTTCCAGGGCTTCTCTCACGTTAGTGGCCATATTAGTTGCCATATGACAGGCGACCAACTCCAGGCGTGGTATGGTGAGGCCTTGTTTGGCCAATCGAGCTTTAGCTGCCACGATGCCTTAGGTGACACCTGATGAATGCGACACGACAGTGAACGCTGCTGCTGCCACGCCCACACCACTTGCATCTCCAAAGACATGTAAGGATATACTGTTGATTGGTTCCTGATACTGAACCAGGGCTCTCATGAATGTGATTTTCTCAGAAGATCTTGATTCCCATTTGGCCCACTTGACGGCTAGGTCAGAAGGCAATTGTTCATCCCAACCGATTCTAAGGTTGCATGCGTCATGATATAGTAGCTTTCCACATAGTGTGAGGGGAGACGCCGCTCCGAGTGGATCATAAATCCTCGCTATTTTAGCCAATATTCCCCTCTTGATGTTGTCGGCTTTCTCAGTCGGCACGGTAACGCTTAAGAAGTCTTTCAGCTTATCCCACTTTAGGCCTAGCAGTGAGCTCTCTCCCCTTGACGAGATTCCCAGTTGCTGTTTTGCAAACGTCTGGTCTGCAGTCTGATCGGTTTCGGTGGATTCCAACTCAGTAACGTTTGAATGACATTTATGGAGTTCAAAAGCGGCGTCAGCAAAAATCTCTGTGGCTGCATTTTTTATCTCTCTTGCTTTGGGTACTGTCGTCCCTCCACTTATCAGGTCATTCACCTACATATCCTGCTTTATCTTGCGTACTATTTCAGGCTGCTTGGAACTCCAGGTATCCAAATACCGCTCAATGACCCCTCCTAACAAGAAGGGTGAGGGACCCAAACCGAACAGAGCTCTTGTAAAGTGGAGTGTCTCTGATGGTCTTGATGTTCTTTAACCAGTGGAACCTGAGAGCGTCTCTTTCTTCTGGTCGGATTCTGACTTGCTAGAACGGTTTCTTAATATCTCCAGTGATGGCAATTAGATTGAAACGTCCTTGAATTAATACACTCCATAGTTGGTTTTGTAGCGGCGGACGAGTGTTAAGACATTCTTTAAGAGATGGCACACCGTCCCAGGCCCTTGCGGAGGCGTCATATACTATTCTCAGCTCAGTGCTTTCAGCGGTTTCGCGCAAGACTCCTTTGTGTGGAATATAGAATTCCCGTCCTTCGACAGAGTTTGGGGCGCGCTCAACTATTCCCTCGGCCAACTGCTCCTGGATCATAGCGTGGTAATCATCGATGGACCCATTCCTCTCAAGTTTCCGTACAAGGCTAGCGAGTCTGCGTAGGCTTCCTTCCTTGTTGTTTGGCAAGGGAGAATGATTTCCCTTCCACGGGAGACCGGTTTCGTACCACCCTTCTTCGCACCTCCGTAGTTGTTCCTTAAACTCATCGTAGACCACACCCTGATCCCCTGAAGACGATTCTGCCAACCTGAGAACATCTAGCTTAAAAAGTTCTTCATAGTCAACTCTCGACGTTTGTGTGAGGAGCATACTGGTGGTGTCGATTTCTTTACCAGGCGAAGTGATAGTCCAGCCCAACTTTGTGTAACTTGCTACAGGGTCCCATTCTCTTTCCACACGCTGAGGTTCGGCGGTGCTGATTCTGGGGCATTCACTGTGTCCTAGGATGATGTGCACAGGTAGGCGGGGTCTCTCGTCGTTGTCATCCATGATCATGCCCTTTAGATGAGGGTGTTTCTCTACGAGCTTCTTGTAGCGAGGGTTGTCTATCATTATGAGGTGCGGTTTCTCTACTTTAGTGACTTCTACTTCCATCTCAAAGTTTCCCTTCACTGAGTTAAGTTTGACCCGATAAACTTCCATCACCCGACTGCTCGCGCCCAGCATCATCTCAATCTTGCGCAACCCAGAATGATGAGGTTTTGCACCAATTCTCTCAAGCAGTGCTGCAGAAGCGTACGAACTTCCTGCGCCAGAATCTAGAAGGGCACGACATTTCATCCCTGCAACTTCCACGACAACCACCGGGTATACCACAGGACCACCGCCAATTTGCGTAGCTGTCATCGAGTTGTCTACGTTTCCTCTGTCACAGATGGAGGTGTGGTGTCTTCTTTTCCAAAACAAACACGTTTTTCTGCTCTTGCATTCCGTCGCCCTGTGGTCATCTCCGGCACAGTTAAAGCAGGAGCGTTTTCTCAAGGAAATCTTCCTTCTTTTGCTTGGATCGGCAACTTAAGTGCATTCGTGCGGCTTGTGATCAGTGCTGTCGCAGTAAACACATCCACGAGGACGCGCTTCGCCTAATTGAGTGTTAAAGGCATTCGAGTCATGCCAG